CAGGGTGGGTGCTGAGGGGAACCCCCCCGAGAGGGTTTGGGTGCCCAGTGGCCAGGGTCTTCCCATGCCAAGCTACTTTCTAGGGAGCAGGGACAGCAATTCAGCTGCCCCCCAGTCATGGCTGGGACATAAATGAGAGAAGAATTACCTGCCCCTAATTCCATCCATGGTTCCATTGCTGCCCTGGGACAGGAGCCTGTGTCCATGATTCCTGCCCTGTTGTCACCATTGCCATGGCAAGGGTCCATTGCCATGGCAAGGGATGTCAGGGGACCCATTTGCTCTGGGCTTGAAGCTGAATCTGCAGTCTGGTAACGGGGCTGTTGCTGGCAGTGCTGGTGCACAGCCCATCAGATGCCCGGCTGCTCCAGTTCCCCCATATTTCATCTCCTGGCACCCTTGTGGGTGCTGGGACAGGACTGTGTGGTTTAGAGGTCAGTGGCCAGCCCACGCAGGTGACACATCCAGTCTGTCCGAGAGGCATAACCCCATCCGTGGGCACTCAGCAATGATGCCACGGAGGCTCACGAGACTGCTGCAGGCTTTACTTCCACAGTCGGCACAGCACGGCCATCCCGTGTTCCCCCCTTCCCATCACCACCCCTGCCAAGGGGCGGCAGAGCCCCACCACTCCCAGGCCCCCTCCCGCGCTGTGTTTGGCTCCAGGATGTGCCCGCAGGGATCTGAGCGCTTTGGAGGTGCCCAGCCCCTGGCTCCAGCAGTGCTGGCAGGAGCAGGGCTGGTGGGTGCCCACGGGCATCACTGTGGCAGGTACTGTTTGGGGTCCCCGGGGAAGGGCAGGGCAGGCGCCTGGTTGAAGTGAGCCATGAGGAAGATGCCTACGGTGCCGCACACGAAGAGGGAGGCCATGATGAGGAAGCAGACACGGTCGATCACCCGTCCCACCAGCATCCACTCTTCGCTTTCCTGACGGTGGCACAAGGAGGGGGGGTGAGGGCTGCCCCCGCTGCTCCCCATGTGGGTCCCTTTGCCCCCGGCCGCGACTCACGCTGCTGAAGTCATTCTGCTCCCGCGTGGCGTTGGCAATGT